CCGTGAGAGGAGCAGTTGTCTCTTGGCTTGGTTATTTTCTCCTGACATCGCTGCTACTGTTCCTACTGCTGTAAGCTAACAGTGCTTCATGCTTGCTGTGTGCTTGGTGCTATGCCAAGTGTGTTACATACATTGTCTCCTTCAGTCCTTATAACAACCCTATATTAGGATTGGTATTATCAATGTAATCATAATTTCACAGAAAACTTTGAGGTCTAGAGAGGAGGGAAGCCTCAACCCAATTTCCAGAGCTGGTAAAGTGCAGAGCTGCGGTTTGAACAACATGATGTGAGAATCTGTGTTCCTCACTCATTCTTGTATAATATGTGGTGCTTTACCAGGCATGATTGTTCTCTTTACTCTTCGAAAACCTCCTCCATTTCCTTGTGTGCTACATACTTTTAAATCTTCACTTTTGAATGAACAACTTCCTCAGGGAGCCTTTCATAGTTTCAGAGCAGCCTGGGTCATTTTCATATTTTGGAATGCTTGTTGTTGTTAGGTGCTGTCGAGTGGGTTCCGACTCATAGCAACCCCACGTACAACAGAACGAAACACTGCCTGGTCCTGTGCAATCCTCACAATCATTGCTGTGTTTGAGCCCATTGTTGCAGCCCCTGTGTCAATCCATCTCCTTGTGGGTCTTCCTCTTTTTCACTGACCTACCTTACCAAGCACGATGTCTTGCTCCAGGGACTGGTCCCTGCTGATAACATGTCCAAAGTATGTGAGACAAAGTCCTGCCATCCTTGCTTCTAAAGAGCATTCTGGCTGTACTTCTTTCAAGACAGACCTGTTGATTCTTTTGGCAGTACATGGTACATTCAGTGTTCTCTGCTAACACCATAATTCAAAGGCATCAATTCTTCTTTGGTGTGGAATGCTTGATATATTGAATGTGAACAAATGCTGAAACGAGTATAAAATTTGGGGGTTGTTAAATGTTCAACAGCATTAGTGTATTTCTGTGATTCACCTTCATTTGTGGATAACATCAAAAGGCAAAATTTTGAGGTTCCTTGTAAATGTGAGGTTCCAGCCTTTCTATAGCACTTTTATCCTCACCTCCATCACTTTACACCCAGCGTAAGAAGTTTTTAGTGAAGAAAGCTGGGAAAGATGGGGTGTTCCATTTTCTAGTGGTTTTTCAAAATCACTGTGTGATTTTGAATGTACTAAATAAATAATCCATTTCCCATCATGTTTTTCTGGTAACTTTCTTCAGTAGCAGACATTGGCTTATTTAGAACATTTTGTGAAAATCACAGAAAATTTAGGAGACCATATGAGCTGTTTAGTTTTGCTGATCTTATAAGTTGATTACAGAAAGACTTTGCTATAAATCTACTTGTTTTCCTTTAGAAACAAATGGGTTATCAGTGCTCGTGTTGATTGCTGCTATAGAAATGGGAATACATTTCCAGATACTCAGTTTGAAAAATAAAATATAAATATATTTTTGACTTCACTTACATTTTTGAGCCGTCTTTTTGGAATTTAATCTCATAAACTTGTCAAGGCTTCTAAGAATCTTACCAGAATTATTGTGTGAAGCATTATACAAACCTGTTGCTGAATAGTTGATTCAAACTCATAGTGACCCTATAGGACAGAGTAGAACTGCCCCATAGGGTTTCCAAGGCTGTAATCATTACGGAAGTAGACCGCTACGTCTTTCTCCTGCTAAGTGGCTGGTGGGTTTGAACTGCTGGCCTTTTGGTTAGCAGTTGAGCACTTAACCACTGCACCATCACAGCTCCTTGAAGCAATACAGATGTGTCTAATATGAGTCTTCTAACATGCCAGGCAACAGATGCACAGTAAATCTGTTAAGGGTGTTTTCCGTATTCATGGTTTATTTTTTGTCTGTTTTACAGTGGAAGCAGTAGTCATGCTCATGTGAACTCCAGGATGTCTGTCCCTTCTCCCCTAGATGTGGGGCACGTGGACCTGCCCGAGCTGGGAGCTGAAGACACCCTGGGACTGCAGCTCCAGCAGCTCAGTCTCCCCCAGTTCTGTGTCTCCGTTCTGGAATCAGCAGTTCCTCTCTTGAGGACAGGTTAGTTGTTTTGAAATCATAGTCTTTTTCCATAATTTCTGGGTTTTTTGTATGTTTTCTAGGACTCTTATTTTTCTCTTTCCTATTTTAGGGCCTCTAGAGTCTGTGTTTACTTTTC